GCTTATACGTGGAATCTAAAGAACTTTATAAACTGATGAACAGAATAGATTTAATGAGATGGAAGCATAGATGAGACTGACGAATGTCAGAGGGAAGGAGGAGGGCGGGTGGGTGGAGGGGGAGAGAGTAACCAAAGAATTTATATGCACATAGGCAGAACCCAAGGTCACGGACAATGGCNTGATCTTGCTTATACGTGGAATCTAAAGAACTTTATAAACTGATGAACAGAATAGATTCAATGACATGGAAGCATAGATGAGACTGACGAATGTCAGAGGGAAGGAGGAGGGCGGGTGGGTGGAGGGGGAGAGAGTAACCAAAGAATTTATATGCACATAGGCAGAACCCAAGGACACGGACAATGGTGGGGAGAGGGACTGGGGAGGGGGAAGGGACGGGGTGGAACGGGTCATTGGGGAGAAAAAGGGACATCTAATATTTTAAACAAAAATAAAATTTTTTAAAAAAGAAAAGACTCAAATGGGGAAACCTCAGAACGAGAAGCAGACTTTCAGAACTGTTCAAACACAGGAGGTGACCTCTGTTCATGGGAGCAACCGTGCAGCTGAGTTGCATGAGACAGACCCTCCTTCTAACTGGACGCGATGCCTCTGTGTTCTTCCAGCACCTGCATGATCACTAGATGGCACGCTTGAGTCATAGAGAGTAAACGGGCTTGTAAAATTATTTTTAAAGTTTTGATTTTTATTGACTTTTTGGGGATGGCATTGGTGAATACAATCAAATAGGTTTCAGGTGTGCAATTCTATAACACGTCACCTGTATATCGTATGGTGTAGTCACCACCCAAAGTCAAGTCTCCTTCCCTTACCATGCCCCCCCTTACCCTCTTCCGACCCTTTAAGAGTAACACCGACGTAAGTGGTAAAGCCTGGATTCCAGACGAGACCTGTCTGAGGCTCTTTCCGGGGAGCCACGTCTTCTCCCAGGAAGCAGCCCCCACTAATAGAAGCTGGAGGGGCAGGAGGTGAGGGAAACTAATCTCTTCATGAGCCTGGGTAACTTCCCGCATCTTCATGTGCATTTAAATACGTGTGACCAGGGCACTGTAGTCATCTACTCACTAGGAAAGCGTACACGTGGGAACATGGGCACATAAAAAGCTAGGGGCTGTGTCAGCAGTCACTAAGGGGAGGGCCTCTGAGTCACTGGGTCTATCTTGCACCCAGGCACCCCCGCCCTTGGCCCTGGCATCCGTGAGGCCTTCCAGTGAGAGCTCCGATCGCACATCCTCACAGCATAACCCAGTTCCTTCACCCGGACGCATGAGCACACGCGCAAAGGACAGAGAAGGTGCCTGGTCTTGTGCTATTGCGCTCTGAATAATAAAGTAATAGCAGCTAACAAAAATTAAATAATTTAACAGGTTAGCTGTGAATAGGTAATACGTTCATTAATGTATTAAAAATGTAAACCACCATAAAGTAAAAAGTCTTAGTCCCATCTCTTNGTCCCATATCTGTCTATCCTGATTCCATCTTTTCACCCAGCCCCCTTCTCGCATGTATCCCTAGTCAGGTTATAATTTTTATTAGTGTCTTGGGTATCCTTCGAGAGTTTCTTCATGCAAATATAAACAAATGTGAATATATATTTTTCTTATCCTTCCCCCTTTTAATCCCAAAGTAACTTACTGTTCTGTATCTTTCTTTTTCCTCAATGCATAGAGAACTTTTTCAATGTTTTATAACTGCATAATATTCCACTTAATGTGTATACTATAGTTGACTTAACCAATCCATAACTGATGAATATTTGGGTTGTTTCTAATCTTTGCACAGTAGCTCACATTTATTGAACTAAACTTACTATATTCGAGGCACAGTGCTAACTGCTTTACTTGGATTCGTTTAATGTAACAGCTCTATGAGTTAGATAATATTATTTCCACTTTTTGGGTAAGGAAGCAAGAGGATCGAGGTGGCTAAGCAACTTGCCTAAGACTTGAACCAGACTCTCTGCCCTTAGAGCACATTTTTATACCAGTGAAACATAAATAAGTACCCTTTATTGATTTCAGAAAGGTTCTTTCTTTTAAGAAGTTCCCAGTTGTGTTTGTGACTGTTCTTCACTTGTTTCCAAGATTTTTTCACAAACGTGAAATTTATACAATTCAGGATTTTACTTCCTTCTACCGCCCACATTATCTGACATTATCTGAGAGTGATTAATTTTTATTTTAGGGCCATACTATGCTGAACTCTTGATCTGAAGAAACAAAGACAAAAACCAACAACAAAAACCCAGACAAACTGAACTTTCTTTGTAGGCACCACAAGTTTAAAGTACGGAATAAATAGTCCTGGCCGGTGTGGCTCAGTTGGTTGGGCTTTGTCCCCTGCACGGAAAGGTGACTGGTTGATTCCCAGTCAGGGCACATGCCTGGGCCGCGGCCCCGGTGGGGAGCGTGCAGGAAGCAGCTGATCGATGTTCCCATGGATGTTTCTCTCTCTCTCCCCCTCCCTCTCTTTCTAAAAATCAATAAAAAATCTTAAAAAAGAAGACCCCCATCTCCAAATGCCATAGTAGTTTAGGATAGGGCTTCAACATATAAAAAAATAAAGTGTAGAATAAATAAATGACCTTGTCTTTTGATAGTCACCCTTCCTCTGTAGGACTTCACGTAATGCAGTTAGGGAACCATGGAAAGCTCTGCATTTTGTATCTTCCTTCTCAAGCTGTTTGAATTAATTTAAGTGTAAACCAGATGAACTGTATCTTGGGCTTGCAGGCTGCTGCTACTCTGTGCATTGCAGATAACTGAAAAACCCCGATGAAAGCACAAACCCAAGCAAACCTGGCTTTCTCCTAAACTTAGCAAGTGCCTGCCACTGTTGAAAACCATAACAAACGTCTTATCGCCTCCTGATGGTAACTGGATCGTTGCCTTCTGCGGCCATCAGAACCACGGGGCAAAGGCCTGAGCAGTGCTGTAAGGGGCACCGCCATCTATCTAAAAGGGAAGTGTGAAGCCCCGTAAATATTTCTTACTCTAATTAAACCATAAACAGCATTCATATGAAGAACTGGATGCCAGCACTTTAAACTAATGAACAAATTACAGTATTGAATGCCAGCAGAGATAGGCAGAATCTTATTAGTGTAATGATCAGACATTTAACAATCATCATTTTGCTGAAAGCTTCCTTTGGATAAAGCATTGCCTCATAGTCATTTTTCACTGTTCACACAGTGACACTTTAATGGAAAAAGAGATGCCACCTGGAGTATTTATTAGTTTAACAAGCCCTTGACTGGGAGCCTAAGAAGATTCAGTGTTTCTCAGGGTTTCCAAGTGGTTTAACGCCACAGCCTAATGCTGTTCCTTTACCCGAGGGCCTGGAGCACACGTGCCACTAAGGGGTGCTGTTGCTTCTTTGCTCCAGCCCCTGGCAGTTTCAATTCTGACCTTACCAGTCTCAGCAGAAGAGAAAAAATGAGGCTTTATCGTTCCCCAGGGAGTGCACTTCTCTGCCTCCAGAGCCAGAGGAATCTGTTAGAACAGCGCAGAGCAAAGCCAAATGGCCAGTAGATGAAATAGGCTTGTTAAAATGTTCTCAAATATCTCCCCTAGGTGGACCCAAACAGCTTCCTGATATCATCAGGGGCCTAATTTTATTCAGGTCTGGGGATGTTAACAGCTTTTGAGGTGCTAGCAAGGGAAGTGAGGACTGATGGGGGAAAGGGGGGGGTCATAGCAGGAGACGTGGGGAAGGGCTGGGCTCTTCTGGACCCTTCCCCAGTCGGGCAGAAATCCGCTTTCCCCTCTACCTATTCAGTTCTGGCTCAGGCACCATTTGCCAAAGCATGCCACATTCCCATTTGGGGGCTTGTTACAAACGCAAGTTCTGTGGTCACATGAATTTGGGAAACTCTGGTCTGAATAAAGTTTAGAAGAAGCATTAGTTGGGTAGAACTTTCAGAACATTTAATTTGTCATGAATGGCCACTGTGCTTTGTGAATCCAAGGCTGGACGTTTGCTGGGAGTAGACGTTATTCCGGTGCCTCTCAGTGGAAGGGGTGTGTGCGGGTTTGCTGCCCCCGCGAGCCCCCGGCTGGGGACCGAGCCCGCAACGGGGCCTGTGCCCTGACCGGGAATCGAACCCCGATCGCCTGGATCCTAGGTCGAAGCTCAGCCGCTGAGCCACGCCCGGCCGGGCTGCAAGGATTTTTACAACATGCAATACCTGACTATTTAGTTAGGGGCACTGACTTCTTTTCTCTTAGGTTGTCAAATTAAAAAAAAAAAATGACAACCACCAACGCAATAACAGCCGTCGGTGTGAATGAATCAACATTATACCTATTTTATTTTTTTTTTGTCAGATTGGTAAAAAGTACATTTTTTGGTGTGCCACAGAATTTTGGTAATTAGTTTACGTGCCATGAGATGAGAAAGGTCGAAACTCGCTGGCTTAGGAGACTGAGACGGGATGAAGGTTCATTCCTTGTCTCACACAGTCTCCTGTGGTTGAAAATCACTTAGACGTTGAGCCGAGACCATTTTCTGCCCTTCTTGATTTACAGATGTTTCCGCAGAGCCGCACTTCCAAGCAGTCCCAGCTGGCCCGAGCCAAGGCCTGGGTGGCTTGATAAGCTGCATCTGGCCTGAAGACACAGAGCAAACGGGGGGCGGGCTCCTCCTGTCCCGGGGGCTCCCTCCGAGGAATCCGGCTGGGGCGGCAGCCAAGCTCAGGAGCCCCGGCTCCATATAAGGGAACCAAGCGAGCCCAGGGCAGCCAGGGGCGCAGACTGCCCGCCGGGCTCCTCTGCTGGGGATCGGCCCAGCGGCCAGCAGGACTGCCCTCCGCTCCCTGCCCGGCGTGTTCTCTCCAGCATGGAGGTAAGACAATTATTCTGTTATTTTTGCAAACAGAGCTGTCTCCAGTGAGGGTGACCTTAGTGGAAAGAGCTCCAGGAAGGAGAGGACATGGGAAACAAGGAGGACAATGGTGACTTTTTATATCTTCACTTAAATATATTCAACAGTTCAGCCAAAGTGAATCCCTTTTGCTTGTCCTGCAGTTAAAGGATTGGTCCAGAGGTCTGGGAACCAGGAATTGGAGACAATGTTTATGAATGTCTGAGGAAGCCACTGAGAGAGGCAATGGTACCTTTGTTATTTCTTAGGGAAAAGTTCCCTGCAGCGTATTTCTGTGTGTTTTATTGGGAGTCGAGCCGTGAGCCCCCGTGATCTGACTTATCTAGGAGCTTTATGAAAAAGAAAATTCAGAGACTTGGGACTTCAGAGGGTCAGCATTATGATGGGAGAAGGCACAGGTAGTTGGGATGAAACTAAAGGTTTAGCAAATACACATGTTGGTCCAATGCAAAATGGCCAGATGATTTAAAAAAAAATTACTATTCAACCAAAGACAAGACCAAAGACAGAAATCACTGTCATAGATTGTATTTCTGGAATGCAAAAGTAACTTGAACTTGCTGCCACAGTTTTATTATTGAAAATTTTGCTATTTAAATGTTAAAAGTTTTGCATTATAATGCTGAAACGATGATTTCCAGTCCTGTCCGCTGCTCCACGGCCTTTGTGGTCACTCTGCTGTCCATCTGTGATATTGGGTGATATATGTGCTGTTTCCAGTGGGTTTGGAGGAGGGGTGAGACATGGGTCTGAATAACTCGTGCCCCAAATTAAATGATTACAGATTAAACCCAAATCACAATTACTAGAACACCAAGTAACCCTACAAAGTTAGAATTATGATACAGTCTAATCTTTATGACCCTGTCTTGCAGTTTTAAAAATGTTTGGGGGCGGTGAACACCATCACCAGACTCCCGCTGAATGAGTCAAGCAATGGCAACGCAACCAATTTAATAATAATTAGAAAAAGACCCTTTTCGGCTCTTTCCCCTTTCACTCCCGCTGCTCTGACTCTGAAGAAGACAGAGGCAGCTTGGGCGAGGGGTGGGGCAGAGTCGCCCAAGAGCACCCCTCCCTTGTTATAAGCATCCAGGAACTGGGAGTAGGAGAGATATTTAAAATCGGATGATAAGTTGAAGTTTGACTATTAAATTGGTCCAGAATTTTTATTTTCTGAAAATTTGTTAATGCCTGGGCGTGACCCCTGAAGCTCTGAGACAGGCTTTCCCGGGGGGGGGGGCAGGAAAAAAGGGGGGCACAGAGGCATATGAGCAAGGAAAGAAGCAAACATGTAGTTTACAATTAAAAAATAAAACCTTTAAAAGGTGTTGCTTTGCATTATATGCTCCACACGTCTGTTGAAAACTCGGGAGGTGTCCTACCTCCCCCACCGTTATTTACTCACTTCCACGGTGCCCACGGCGCCTCGGTTGGGCTGATCAGAAGAAGAGGCAGAGGGTTTGTTCAAGCATAAAGGACAGGGACAGGCCGCAAGGATCGTTTAACTGGAGGAAGACACCTAACGTGAGGGCAGGTGAGCTCGGAGGGCGAGCGGGAGGGTCTGGAAAAAATGTTGGGAAGCCACCCCACAGCTGCACTGAGAGAAGGGAGAAAGGATATTGGCCTGTTAGCAGGAGGGGTGTGTCTCAGCCTCCCGCTCCTTCATTTATGAGGCTCATTTCCCCTTTACCTCCTCCATACTCTCCCTGCGCTTTCTCCCAGATGTTTCCTCTCCGGGTGCCCTCATGGGTGCTGAAGTCAGAGAGCAGGACCGCGGAGAACCGAACTAAAACACGAGGGACCCTAAAGAAATGCTTGCGACAGTTTAACTCTAGTGATCATTTTTAATTCGTCCTTGACATCGCCCGGCCCTAGCTGTTTTACAGAAATGAAGAGTAGGAGGTGGGCTTAAGAGAGTCAGAGTAAACTCTTACTTAACGTGGAAACTTAAAAGACTAGTAGCGTCATCAAGGCTTCTGCACGGCCCTCCCACTCTTTGCATCCCTCAGCCACAAATCCTGACTTGTGCAGATGAATTCGCTTTCAGCTCATTAAAGAAATGCAAACTAAAATAATGCTTTTATTTCCCCCCCAGGCAATAGGTTTCTTCATCTTGGTGGGATTTATAGGACAGTTCCCGGCTTTTTCAAGGTGAGAATTGTTTGGATTGTGGGTGGAAATCGTTAAACATTATTTTTGGGTTTTAGGACATTCGTGCGCCGTGATTTCTGCATTGCAGCCTGAGCGTATTTATCTCTTCAACGCTGTATCTTTCCACATTTTGAGGAAAACAGTGATAGCAAAAGCTTGTTTAATTCTTATTTCATTTTGTTCGCTGTAAGGAAGAAACCTGGAGATGAAATCAATACACCTCAAGGTTTTCTGCTTGTCCCAGCTGCCTGGTTTACCTGCCTTTTGGAGGATTGCAGCTGCCCCACGCAGCTCAGAGCAGACTTTGATCTTTAACTGTAGTCATTGCAGAACATTCTTTGGATTTAAAAGGTCGAGAGTTTTTTAAGAAAACTGTTTTTTTGGCTCTTGAGGCCTGGAAAACAGCAGCAGCATTTACCCGTGGCCTTGTTTTGCTTCTCGGACAGTTTGGCGGGACGGGACCAGGTCAGTTCACTCTGTCGAACTATCAGTAAGTGTCAGGCTCAGAGCTAGTGACCGGGAAGCCAAGAGGACCGAGCCAGCACTGCGAGCCCGCTGGTGGCTCAGGTCGGGACACAGCTGGTTTCCATGCACACGTGCTCAGGGCTCCTCGCCGAGGCCTGGCCAGGGAGCTGGGGGGCAAAGAGGCGGCGAGGCCAGGCCCCCTCTCCTCCCCACGCCTCGGTGCTTGGGGAAGATGGCAGCCTGTCCCCGGGACCCAAAACAGAAAGACAGCAAGTTCAGATTGCTTAAGGGTCAGTAATTCCAAGGCCCTGCGATCACTGACGCCCTGTCAAGACTACGGGTTAGCGCCGGTGGCCCCATAAAGGCCCCCAGACACACGCACCTCCTTACTTCCAAGGTCAGCGCCAGCCTGAGCATAAGCAGAGGGCACCTTAACTTAACGATGTTTCCAAGGCGAAAAACATGCTGGAAATCCAGAGATCAGGAGGCTTCATTCCTTCAGCCTTTGTAAATGTGCTTTGAGGCTAGGCTAGGCCTCAAAGTTTCTTAGGTGTAAGCCAAGAGCCTGGACACAGCTGAGAGTTAAGCGTTGCATGAGTGCCAACTCTCCATTTTATTTTGATTAATTAATCAATCAAATAATATTTTTATTTATTGGTTTTGGTTTTTTTAATTGATTTTAGAGAGAGAGGAAGGTGGGGAGAGAGACATGGATCTGTTGCTCCACTTATTTATGCATTCATCGGTTGATTCTTGTATGTGCCCTGACCTGGGATCGAACCCACAACCTTGGCTCACCGGGACGATGCTCTAACCAACTGAGCTACCAGCCAAGGCTCAACTCTCCACTTTCCACATGTATTTTATTTGAGTGAAATTGTTTGTGCTGGAATTTCCCCTCTATGGGTGTGTGCATAAGAAGTGACCTAAATGACCTGGGGAGCGTTTAAAAATAACTTCCTGTCCATCCAGCCATTGCCAGTTTCTAGTATCCCCACTTCTCACAGGGTCTTTTTAGAACCCCTGGTCGCCCTGTTCCAGAGTTTCTGAATAACATTTCCACTCATCATTCAGAGCCCTTTCAAAGGCCGTAATACCTTCCTCCTATATGTTCTCACTTATCCCTCCCAACTGGGAACACTCCCCTAACTGTGCCTCCACAGCGTCACACTGTGCTCATTTCTGCCATGAAATCTTTTAGATCAGATATGTTGTATTACGGATTATGGTTGTATTATTGTATTAGGGTCATTTCTTGATGCATCTGTATCTTTGTTCTCCCCTCTATCAATGGTTAGTGACCTATCTTTATTTAATTTGTTTTTTTATTCATTTCAGAGAGAGGAAGGGAGAGGGAGAGAGAGAGAAACGTCAATGGTGAGAGAGTCACTGATCGGCCGCCTCCTGCCCGCCCCCTCCTGGGGACTGAGCCCGCAGCCTGGGCATGTGCCCTGACCGGGAATCGAGCCTTGACCTCCTGGTTCATAGGTTGACTCTCAACCACTGAGCCACGCCGCTGGGCTGACCTATCTTTTAATATATCTTCAGCGCTAGTGTCTAAATAGCGCCTGCTACATTATAGATGTTTAATCAATGTTAATCTCTAAAGAAGTGGGTACCTTTGACATATTTTAAAAATATATTTTGGGATATTTCTGGTTTCTCTTAGAAAAAAACGGTGAAGCAATTTTTGACTGTATTTGACTGTTTTTGACTGTTCTTGATGTGTCCCCTCTCTCTTATCTTTCTACCTGCTTTGCGATGAACCACTGGACAGCGCCTCCTCTCCAGTCGATTGCCAGTGGGGTTCCTTCGGCCCTTGGTCAGAGTGTAATGGTTGTACCAAGTCTCAGGTAGGGCCATGCAGAAACTTTGTACTTACTACTTATCTGCTGAAATAGCTCATGTGTGGACAAAAAGGCATTAACTTTTGAATGCTATCCTTTGTTTCTTGAAAATATAATTAGTAATTTTAAAGAAAAGGAAGCCTAACTTGTATAATAATATTGTAATAAAGTAATTTCTGCATTCTAATTTTTTCTTGCAGGACTTTTCTAAATAAATCTTACATTTGAGCCTAGCACTATACATAGGATGACAATGAAAAGCATTTCACTAACTCTTAAGCTATTAGAGAAATAAGAATAGCATGATATGAAGTTAACTCAAAATCTGGTTCATGCCTATTGGAGCCAGCTTTTCTTATTTGAAATAAACACTAACAAGTAGTAAAATTATTGCTTTGTTTTACCTGACAAATAGTGAATGGCCATGAAAAGTCAAACATTTTTTTGCAATAGTTTAAAGTTTCATTCTTAAGTAATGCAAATAAAAGACCAGACTTGCTCTGGAGATTATAGAGAACTTCTAAAAATTCCTGCTTTTTTCTTGTTATAAATTACTCATTGGAGAAAAAACAGAAAATATACATAAAGATAACACTAATTATAATTCTACCATTTAAAAGAAACCAATACACCAGCATTTTGGTATTTATTTCTTTCTTTTTATTTTCTTGCTATGTGTTTATGATTTTTAAAATTAGGCTTATTTGATCATAGTTTTGTATTCTACTATTTTAACCTAACATACTATCAGCATGAATTTTAACAGCTGTATTATGTTCCCTTATATAAATACACCAAACTTTTTAATCAACTTTGCTATTGTTTGAGATTTAGATTATTTACATTTTTGTTTTTTATAAATTAAACTTTAGTGAACATTTTTTATACATAGACATACATCCTCTTTTCTGATAATTTTCTTAGGATAAATTTGAAAAATCTAATGTTTGTTTTAAAGGTTCTGAACATTTGAATGGTTAAATATTTTAACTGATATGTAACATTATAATAGTTTCGGTGCACAGCATAATTTCATATTTATAAAATATTTCAGAGNCATTTGAATGGTTAAATATTTTAACTGATATGTAACATTATAATAGTTTCAGGTGTGCAGCATAATTTCATATTTATAAAATATTTCAGAAGTGGTTCTGTTTGGATAAAAAAATGTGTATTTAAAGTTTATTTTTTAAGTAGTACAACAACGGAAAGATACTGCAGAAGATAATGTTGAAGCATCATCATAATCATTGTTTTCATCCAGCATTTACTTAGTACCTCTGTGAGTGGCATTTACAAAATAAGTTAAACAAATGCAGAATTCGGCTTCTGGCAAATATAATAGATGACAACTCTGATTCCAGGCACAGAAGTACATGAACAATAAGGCATACGTCAAATACACGCTAACCACAGAAAACATTTTTATAGTTTAAAAACGGGTTAAGAAAGAACACTAAATAGGAGACAGAAGGTATTTTTCATATTAGCATGTTTTCTCGTTGAGTGAAGGTCATCGTACAATGGATACATCCTTAGCTTATACAATCAAAACTTTCATCCAGAAAGAGACAAGTGAAAATGAAAAAGGGCTCGTAAGATGAGAATGTGACAGGTGAGAACGAGACGGCTGAGAGTAGGCGGCCTTCAAGGTCGCCCTGATGACAGGGAGGGAAAACATTCCTTATACAAACGACAAGATCTGTGCTTGGGAACTTCAGAGAATGACAAATGAATAAGCCATACGTGAGAGGTGTCTTCATCAATTAAATGCAGAAACTAAAAACTAATCAAGAAGCTGTACTGAGTTCCATTCCCCACTGAGAAATGCCAGAGCCAGGCCCAGGATGCTGGAAACCTGCTCAGGGTTCAAATCACATTCCTGTGGCCCTTTGTCCCGAGGCAGCCCCACTTCTAAGCTGGTTTAAGATGGATCGATTCAACATCTAGTCTTCCCTGCTGGTCTTTGCTCAAGGTGGAAATTCTCTGGAATCTCAGATTTTGTTCATTTTTATTAATGGGGAGCAGCTGAGTATAGGAAGAAGCTTAAAAGATGCCCCTTTGGGGATGGAAAGAATTTCGTACATCTCTCTTTTCGTCTAAACATGGGATCCATGTCCTCATTCTGATTAGTGCATTTTAAGACGATGAGTTGTTTCCCATTTGGTTTGATGATTTCCTCAACCTTCCCCTACTCTTTTCCCCGGGGGTTTGCTTTTGACACAGTTCCCATTTCAGGGGTCAACGATTTTGATTGTCCCCTAGAATTCCATTGCAGGCGCAGCCTCCCCTTCGGGCTTCTTAGGCCCCTGCTCTGTAAATTTCACATGCACATCGACACGTTTCCCTCTGGGTTGCCTCGCCTTCCTGGAAAGGGGTTGACATTCAGTTCAAATCAGTTGCCACCACTTTTCCAAAGTTTTCCATAACTTCACTTCATCTCAGGCCCCTTCTCAATACCATTACCCTCTCTCCAGCCAAATTCACTGTTGCCTTTCTGATTAGCTCTTGGTACAGAGCTTTGGCAAAAACATTGACCATCCTGTATTGCAATCTACTCGCTTGTTTACCCAGCTAACTCTTTCAGGTTACTTTCTTAAAGATTCACTAATATTGTTTTTAGCACTCACTTCAAAGAGAAAATATATATAGTAAATATAGATATATTATCTGTAGTAATAACCCAAGCGTCACTGGACTCAAGGACAAGTAGGTCTGTGGGCTCATTGATTTTGGAGGTTTTACTTCTGTGGGACACCAGAACCATTTCCCAAACATCGCTTCTTCAGTGGTGTTAATTTTTCTCAGATCTTATGTCTCAGACAAAGGAACCTGGGGCCGTTGATGAGCACTTGCTGTTTCTCGCGCAGACCCGCAGGCGCTTGATCGCCGTTCACGCGCAGTACGGCGGCCAGCCGTGCACAGGCGGGGCCTTCCAGACGCAGGCCTGCGAGCCTGCCCAGGGGTGCCCTGCGGAAGAGGGGTGCGGAGAGCGGTTCAGGTGTTTCTCAGGTACTGGTTTTCTGCAGGTGCGGCATGCAGAGAGCAAACGCAAATGCTGTTTGGTTAGCGTACTCAGTATCTATTTGTTAGATTTTACTGAATTTATATTGACCTATAAATTAGTGTCCCCCCAATCTCTGTATAATTTTTATTGGCATAATAATCACACCCTCCACTATTATTCCTTCAAATGCAAGGGGAGGCATATGGTAATAAAAGCGGGCAGACTCTTTGCTTCTTTGAAAAGAAATATGACTATTGATGGACTCACACAGTTCTTGACATTGCATTTTTGGTGAAGATCTGGTATGAACACTGACACTGGGCAAGAACAATGTTACTACCAAAATTATTAGTATGTTTATAAGAAAAGCAACTCTCATAGGTCATTAAGGAGCAATGCAGATCACCCCTATGCATGGGTGATTGAAACATAGTTTTTCCATTATGGATTTATTATCTATGCTGCATTTGTGCAATAAGATTAACTCAGCAACCTTTAGCAAACATTTATTATTCTTGTTAATGCTCCAGATATAGTGATGGGCGCTGTGGATTTATAAATAAAACACAGCCTCTTCTCTAAAAAATAAAATTTAAAAAAATTAAAGCTTTATGGACAGAATAGTATATAAATAATCCTTGTGTTAGAAGTGTTCCTCAGCAACACCTGTCAAACTCCTATTTCACTTTCAAAACCCAAATCAAATGAGACCTCCTTTGGGAAACCTTCCCTAACCCCTTAACTGATAGAGCTGATTAACAAATCACTTCTCTGTGTTCCCTATGTACACTGTACCATCTGAAATCTGGAGTATTGGGTGGTCTGGGCGTCTCTTGGCGGACTATGAACTCTTTGAAGACATACGGAGTGGGGCAAAAGTAAATTTACAATTGTGAGTACGNTTCCCTATGTACACTGTACCATCTGAAATCTGGAGTATTGGGTGGTCTGGACGTCTCTTGGCGGACTATGAACTCTTTGAAGACATACAGAGTGGGGCAAAAGTAAATTTACAGTTGTGAGTACATGAAACACAGAGTTTATTCTTGTATTATTTTTTATTTAGTAATTACTTTATTTTACATATGAACAACTGCCGACCTACTTTTGCCCCACCCTGTATCATATTTGATTTTTGAGCCTGGAGTGCCTCGTACATAGTTGACTCTCAACAAATGTTTGCTGCATGGGCTTGAGTGAGAGCATAGTGGGTGCAACTATACTGTCAGGACTGTGTGCAAAGCATACTGTGAGGACAAGGGGAAGGACATGCATCGTAGCCTGCGGGATAGGGGTGGTTTCTGAGAGGAGGTAATGTGTAGTTTGATTCTTGAAGACAAGCCTTGAAAACCCGTCTAGGCTGTGAGAACTGTGAGTGCAAGGTCAGTGGAGATGAGAGGAAGCCTGGCTTTATTCCTGCAAGTGATCCAGGATGACTAGGGCATGGGAAGCTCGCCGAGCGGCTGCAGGTGGTGCTGCGGAGGAGAGCAGGAGCTAGATCATTTGTACCCTCCAGTGCATCCCTGGAACCCTGGGCTTATGTCTACCGTGACAATGATGTTGTCGAATTGTAATCTACGTCTATACTCTTCCCTATTACATTGTAAAGTATATTAAAAGCCTGACAATACCATTTTTATTTATGTTTGTATTCCCACACCCAGAAGAGTCTCTCACACAGAGTAGGTGCTAAAGAAATGTTGAGTTGTTACCTTTTGGCTCAGCTCCTGTGCTCTCAAAACTTACACATCTGAATCATCGAGAAAAGCAGGACTTGGCCATCTGGGTCAGTGATTCCAGAAAAGAAAACGGAAAGTTGAGGGGCAGGAGATCAATCTTTCTTTTCCCAGTGGTTGGCATTGTCCGATTTTGGAGAATCCAGACAAACTGCCTGATGCTCACAGGTGAAAGCCTGGAGTTGGAATTCAGGTTTTATTTTCAATTTTGTGTCTGGTCAAAATCAGAATCAATTTGTTGTGTTGTAAAATGAGGACCAAAATAATCACCAGTCCTTCCTGGACATGCTGGGGATGGATGTCAAACTCACACCAGAGTGTCAGTGCAGGGCTGGGGGCT